ATATATATATATATATATATACATATATATATATATATAGACAGACAGATAGACAGACAGAGACAGACAGAGACAGACAGATGGAGACAGACAGAGACAGACAGATGGAGACAGACAGAGACAGACAGACAGAGACAGACAGAGACAGACAGATGGAGACAGACAGAGACAGACAGATGGAGACAGACAGACAGACAGAGATAGATAGACAGACAGATAGATAGAGACAGATAGATAGACAGACAGACAGACAGACAGATAGACAGATAGATAGATAGACAGATAGACAGATAGATAGATAGACAGACACTTACCCAATAAAATCTTTCAAAAGGATCTTAGGAACTTCATATCCATTGTAATGCTTCTAAGTATATCATGAAGATGAATTACCTCCTAAAAGTATAAGTCTAGAATAATGGATGGATGAACGGATGGATGGATGGATGGAAAGGCAACCGAAGGTTACGCTTCAAAATATTTGCTTTGTAGAAGTCAATGTTCAAATATTTATGCCTTAAATTTGGAACCAATATACTAATTTGAATATGGAACAAGAAAGGCAACCGAAGGTTACGCTTCAAAATATTTGCTTTGTAGAAGTCAATGTTCAAATATTTTCTTTGTTCTTATTAAACACAACTTTCATGATTTGTATGTTATGTTTTTCTGTAATTTATTCTATCATTATGCCAACTAGATATGGCCAATAGATCTCATCTACCATTCTGTAATTTATTCTATCATTATGCCAACTAGATATGGCCAATTGATCTCATCTACCATTTATGCCAACTATGCGCGGACATTAGATTTACCAGATTGGGGCAAAGGTTGAAGGGAGTTGAGACTTTTCTTAAAGTTGGACTTTGCATGATAACTAGTATGGGATTTTTCGGCTTAAATTTAGGTTTAGACAGGTCCCAATCAAGTTGCAACTGTTAAAACTCTATCAAATTTTGGCTATCTGAACTAAATGGACATATCCATGTTCAAATGTCATCCCAAAAAAGTTGTCTTGTAATGTCTAGGTCAACTTATAGCTTTGGATTGAAGCCCTTAATCTGGTGCTTTTGCTAGATCAGCCTTATGTGCTCATGTGGGTTGCTCAATCTGTGATTATTGGACCTAATGTCAACTTAAGTCATCTTGGATTACTTGTAATTTAAGTTGATTGCAAATCTTAATAGGCACATTATTCAAATAATGATTACTAAGTTTAATAACCAAAGTTGCGCTTTGATTGAAAAAGCATGCAATTTATGTTTTTTGAATTTTGGCTAATTAAACGTATGCTCATCTTAGCTTTTTGTTTGTTCATTTTAGGTGGAGATTCTTTTTAAAGCTTAACTATCAGGGAGTTAACCATGTTAAGTATACTGTTTGTGAATTTTTCTTCCTAGCTCTTTCTTGATTATTCTATTTTCTTGCATCTCATGCATCTTTGCCATCCGTAGTGCCGTAGCCGTATGGCTTGTATCAGCTAGCATGCACTTATATAGAGTTCTTATTTTAGTCTTCATAGGTTTTCATGCCTACATCTTGATGTTTAATAATTCCATATTAATGTCTAATATGAATTTTTTTTTTTTTTTTTTTACTATGTCTCATGTTTGAATAAATATTAATTTTATATATTTACATATTCACTAGAGAAATAGAGTTTTGTGTTAGCCTAATAACGATGATTGATTTTGAGTACCAAAAAAGGTGATTCTGCTAACATTCAATTTAAAGAGGAAACTATATTAAAATTACGTACCTTCTTTGATATGGTAGCTTTCAGGGTTTATTCTTTTTTTTTACTTCAAGAAATAAATTGAAATTGGTGGATCTACCCTTTCATCTTAGATATAATCTAATAATATATTCACCATGTAAGCAGTGGGAATGAAATAAAATCTTAATAGTTCATAGGCTGATTTTGAATCAGCATTCATTTATTTAAGCTTTTCAATCCTTTCAAATTTTTCTTTACGCCCAAATCTTAGCATCGAAATGCACCCTATGCATGTACCAAATTTGTCACTAAAACTTATTTTCTGTGAAAGGCGATTGTCTTTGAGATAATATTTTTCGAACAATATTTATCACTAGGCTACTACCAACATTTGTTATAATTGATAGGTTGATTTGAATCAGCATTCATTGATTTAAGCTTGTCGATCTTTTCCTACTTTTCCTTACACTCAAATCTTAGCATCGAAATGCAGCCTATGCATGTACCAACTTTGTCATTAAAACTTCTTTTCTGCGAAAGGTGTTTGTCTTTAAGATAATATTTTTTGAACAAGATTTATCATTAGGCTGCTACCAACATTTATAATTAAATTTCAATACGTTTGTGAAAAAAGAAATATAGTTGGTGCATGGTATGTTGATAGAATGACTTCATCTTACTTTAACCTTCGTCCATACCTAAGATTTAATATAGTATATGAATGCTATAGGGTCTGATGATGAACCATGAGGGTATAGTAGAATATTTCCAGAATAGAGGTGTTTCTGTTATATTCCTCCTCAGAAGAAATCTTCTTCGTCGATGGGTTTCAATTCTAGCGAACTCTCATGACCGAGAAGCAAAGCAATTGAATGGAACTCATAAAGCTCATGTACACTCACGAAATGAGGTTTTGTTCTTTCATCTATATCAATTTTTTTTTTTAATTTTTTCTTTTGTTCTGAAATATTAAAAATTCTAATTTATTGGTTGCAGATGCTGCAAAAGCTTTCAGATTATTTCAGTAATATCTCTGCATTTTCCTAAATCTGTTTCATCATGCAATACAGGCTGACATTCTTGCAAGATTTAAGCCATTGATTGACGTGAGAAAGCTCATTCTAGATATCAAACAAACTAGTAAATGGAGTGCGGATGCTCTTCAGTACTTCAATGGCACCCGGCACATTATCTTATACTATGAGGATCTCATTCTTAATCAAACAGTATGTCTTCTATGGCCTTCAACAAATATCAAATTTCAGATGTGTTTTATTGATCTACACCTATTGCATAAAAAAATTAATTCAACAATACCATTAGATAATTAATCATATATCTTTCAATCCCTGCAGAAATTAATGGATGTTCTTAACTTCCTAAGAGTGCCACGCAGAGAGCTCAAAAGCCGGCATGTCAAGATCCATACAAGACCGTTATCAGAGCAGATTGAAAACTGGGATGTCGTCTCACAATCACTTAAAGGGACTGAGTTTGAAAGTTTCTTGCAGTTTGACTATGGAAAATAGAATAATAATAATATTTACTGCTGTAAATATGGTTGGCAATACCTGTTCTTTTGTCGATACTAGCGGATTCGTTCAGACTAATTTTTCCCGCAGCAGGGAAATTTTGGCTACTTCAAAGTGTCTTTGACTGCTAACAGAAAAGTTTTTCAGGGGTTTCTTAAAGGCATTTGAGCGAAACATGCGTCCTTTTAAGATTTTATATTCCTTGTATGATTTTATATTTAGAGCTGTTTCTTGCAACCTATCAAACAGCACGGTTGCTATTCTGTTCTTCTTGTGCAAAACATTCTTTTACTTGATAACAAAATTATTACCTGAGAGATTTCAATGGTTAATGTAACTTGTCGCTAGAATTTGGAGTATTTCTAATCATGTTTGTGAAAAAGGCTTTTTATTCGTGTACTGTGTTGTAATCTTCTCCGGATTTCTTTTCATGCCATGTTATAAATCCTATGGTTATTTCAATTGAGAGACAGTACTTTTCTAATTAATGCTAGGTTCAATGGATTTCTCTAGCCAAAGGAGGCTGAAATGCTTCGATAGAATTTTTTTTGATGATTTCTCTTACTAATGACTTCATTTACTAGCTGAAAAACTATGATCTGATTCGGTAATCAAATTCTTCAAAATTAAGCAAAACTAAGCAAATTCTCTTTATCAAATTAATTCATAACAGTAGGATCTGTTTCTAGCCCTTGGTGACATTCATGTATTGTAAGCATCTTTACTGTATCCTGGAACCAGAGCAGCTTTATTTATAGATGTTAATGCAATTTTTGTTAGCCACCTCTTACACTGAGCCATCATCATTCATTTTTCTCAGAAGTAGCATTTATACTCCGATCACTGGCATATTATCTTGTTCCTTTCCTCTTTGGAAGCCTACAAGAATGCCTTGATAGCTGTTTTTTTTGGAGGGTGTACTTTTTAATTTTTGATTTGAGTTGAGCTTAGGCTTGAATTAGGGCATCACTTTTTACACAGAGGAAGCAAGTGTAGAAAACCAATCCAATCGTTTCATTACCTTCAATAGGGATTTTTTTTTTCTTGACTTTTTGAGCCAATTTAAATGCAGACTTATACACACTACATTTGTAAGGTCTTGAATCCAAAAGTTTTTGGTTGGAAGCCCAAGCTCCTAATCAACAGGCTAAAGTGGGTTGCATTTAAAGGGGCCTTTTGTCAATGTAATGGTATGTCACTGGTTTGGCTGTATAAATCTTTTACTAACTATTATTTTTTATAAATAAAAAATTTAATGGTTGTATATCATCACACGCATGGACAAGATCTAATGATTCTCATTGTTGTTGTTGGCAATAAGACCATAAAGGCGTTTGGATCTGCATCTATTGATTGAATTATTTAGTCAAAATTTTTTATGAAAACACAACTTTCAATTTAATAATTAATTCTATTGTTATTATGATTGTTCATTGATAAAGGTCTTATTTTTCTTACGGCATTTAGTACATTTATCTCTTCGATTATTGAAATGCTCTCAAGAGGGATATTAAAAATGTAGAATTAGCTGAATTTCCTATTATTGAATAAGACGAATAAGTGATCCTAAGGTAGGAAAATGTTCGATTTATAAAATGGGGATTTTGGATCTTAAATAAATCCTTCATTAAGAATTTAGAACATTCCATTATTATAGATGTCATCGGAAAAATAATTTCACTCTTAGCTAAGGATGGCTTGCAAATCTATATACAAAACTATAACATATCTACATAGGATTAATTTAGTTGGCATTTAAACCACTAACTCTTATAAGAGATGAAAATGCTTAAATTGGGTTCAATCTCTTACGGGAACAATGGAAATTAGCCTATGCCATGAATTGATATATTTTAATACATTCATAAATCTCAGCTTATTACTATTTTAAATAACTCCTTTTGAAGTAGCTAAATTACAACTTTAGTTACATGGTTATGATTTCTTGTTAGAATGCAAGATGATACTATTTCAAATTCATTTTAAGGTTATGAATATCTTAGGCTCTAATAATATAAAAAAGATAACATGATCCCTAAATCACAAAACTTAATTGAAATCAATGTCTTAGCCTCACACATAACCACTAATAGAGTTATCATGTTAAATAAAATCACTTTTCTTGTTTCTTGGTAGCTTCAAACTATCACATTTGGGAAAACAATAGGTGATGCAAATGCCTTGGGAGAATTTTTTCTATCGTAAAATAATTAATATTTGCTAATGCTACTCGCCAAATCATATCCACTCACTTATTCAAACTTGAATATAAACTTGATCAAATTATTACCTAAAAACTCTCCAATTGTGTAGTAGTCACAAAGAAGAAATAATTACTCCTCACTTAGCTATGAAATCACCCATAATGATTTCTTTTAATTTTTAATTTCTGAAAAGGATTTGAAGAGCTAATATTAATATTTAAAGTAACAAGCTTGTCTCCTCTAAATAACAAAAACATTATAGATGATGAAAATCCTTTGATAATAGGACAAAATTAGGTTTTGATCTAGTTCAATGTCATGACTAATGTAAATCATTAAAAGAGAAAATCAATAGTAGAATAATTCTCAAAATAAATCCCAAAAAAAAGAAATGAAAAATATATATTATTTGGAAAACCCTCCAATGGAATTATGTATGGAAAATTTCGACACCATATTATGTTTAAACCATCAAGTGAAAATATTATAAAGATTATCTAAAAGATTATGAAACTTAATCAACATGGACACTTTCACAATGTTATTCAAGGAACTATATTTTTTCATTGAAGTATTCTTAAGCAAGTATACTTATAAAAAATTCTCACTTTTTAAAATTGTGTAAAAATTTAGACTACTCAAATGAACAAAATAAAGACAATAATCTACAAGAAATGCACCACTAATCAAATCTTACATCATAAAAAAATGGGGTATAAACTCGTTTCACGAAAGGCATATCAACTTATCCTATAAGAACTAGTCAATGAACTATTGGTCCTATGATCGAGTAAATAATAAAAGCCTTTTATATGATAAATCATGAAAAAAAATTTTGACGAAGGATTGTAATCAAGAAATAAGAGGCCACAAGGGTAATTCCTTTCTGGTTCTACATATGGTGAGATCTATTTATTTGAAAATAATAAATTTTATCTACCCTTATCCAAGAACTTAAGTCCATGGGTCAAAGTAATTCAAAAAATTTAATCAAAATACATAAGATTGTCCATTTTTCTGACATATCATCAAATCCAATGAATTTGACATTAAAACATTTTTGTCGATCATGACACATTTACTCGAAATAGATTTTACTTAATTGTTGGTCACAAATAATGTTAAAAATTTAGATATTTTAAAAATATTATTGACTCTAATAAGGAACTAGGTACTATGAAAGACAATAAAATTTTGGTTTTTCTTTAAAAAATATTCATGACAATTTAAAGAGGAAATACCCTCATGATATACTAGAGCAAATTAACGAAAGGATGTTGTAGAGATATCAAAAGCAATTCATTGAATTTTTTAACTCCCACACCAAATATTGAAGAAGAATATGTGTCTAAGAAAAATGAAGATATGATTCAAATGGAGGCAAAGCAATGGTGAAATGATGGTTTAATATTAAAAAAAAAATCCAAGGAAAATTATGAAAAGAATGAGCAAGACAAAGGTAGCAAAGTGCCATAATTTTTCAAAATGATAATAGTTGTAGATGGAGGAACACTTCAACAGTTGAAGTAAGGATTATTTAGAGAGACCCATGCTTATATTTTATCAAAGGAAAGTAATTTATTACTTTGTAAAAGATATTCTGATTAGTGTTTTTCTTTGTTTGTTATCTTACTTTTTAATTTCTTGTGAAAAAAATATAGTGTGGGGACTAGGAGCCAGGTCCATCTATATATGGGTGTGTTATCTGCTTCTTGGGATAAACTAAGTTTGATTGAGCGTGTGGATGTGTGCTTGTGTTTCCCTAGCAAAATTGAAGCTTTAATTTGGTAAGTTTTTCATATTAAATAAATAAAAGCTTTATTAGTATATGATTTGCCAGTATCTTGCTTTGTTATATATATATATATATATTAATGCATCTGAAATATTTTGGAGCATTTGGTTTGATATAAAATACATATAGGATTCATCAATCTAAGTGCAAAATGCAATGTGATTCACAAAATTTTACTTTTTCTTCAAAGCGCACAACTGTTGACCTCATTTTTGGTGAGGTCTAGTCTTCCTCTTAGGGTTAAGGATCTAGCCTTAGGGATCTCCTTTTGACTATCTTGGAACCTTAAAAATGGTACCCACCTCATTTTAGAAATTCAACCCACTTCTGTACCCTTTTGGAGTTTCGCGTGTGTGGTATCAACTTCTAGCACTTAGAAGGGTGAAACCAACATTAGGAAACCCAAAAGGAATTCTTATAGGACCTTTTGAGCCTTAAGGTGGCTTTCTGCACAATTCGCACTCCCGCGCGCACAAACTTTGCAATTTGGAGAATCAGCGAGTCCGATCGCCACAATCCACTTCGCCTGCACCATTACCTGTCGAAGACTCGAATAAACTTGTTGAGACGATCGATCGTGGGTCAAAATTTTGTGAACTTTGAATTTTGACGTGTTTTTGACCCGATTGTCGACGGCGTCGTCCGACCGACCTCGGATGAAAAAACAGACTGCCGCGGTGTCTGTTAACTTGTGAAATCAAGTATCATATTAATCATGGATTAAATTTTAATTTTGTAATCATTGATTAATCCATTTAACGTTGGATAAATTAAAATTATCTGAACCCTACTAAATAACAATAAAACAAAGAAATTTATAAATTAACATCTTTATTTTGAAAATATTTTGGTTTTATGAATGAAATACTTGTTGATGGCTCAAAACTTACAGGATGTATTTGCGTAACTAGTTATTTATTTATTTATTTATATAAACCAAATTCTCCCTTTCCTCTTTAAGCCCTAAATCCCTAAACTCACGCACCCGAGCTCTGCCTCCCTTCCTTCTTTCATTCGCGTGTCTGGCCTTTCCCTTTCTCGGTCTCGAGACAACCGAGCTCCTCCTCCTCCACGCGAGAGAAAGTTGACGTCTCATTCGCCCTTGCCCAACACTCTCTGCCCGCGGCCCTCCTTCCCGAAGCCGTGCCAGTCTCCCAGGGCTATGGTGTTTTCCTTTTCTTGGTAGTTTGACTCTGGGAAGCTTGCTCCCTGGTACACTTGAATGGAAAACTCTCTCTTCTTCCTGATACTTTCCTCTGATACTTTCCTCGCTGC